GCCGAAAGTGCTGGGAGGAGGGCAGAGCGCCCGCTCTCCCCGACTGGCCGGAGCGCCGAGAGGAGGGTGGAGAGCCCGGCCGGGGCCCTGCTCTCCCCGACGGGCTGAAGCGCCGGGAGGAGGGCGGAGCGCCCGCTCTCCCCGACTGGCCGGAGCGCCGAGAGGAGGGTGGAGAGCCCGGCCGGGGCCCCGCTCTCCCCGACCGGCCGGAGCGCCAGGAGGAGGGCGGAGAGCCCGGCTGGGGCCCCGCTCTCCCCGGCCGGCCAGAGCGCCGGGGGAGGGTGGGGAGCCCAGCCGTGGCCCGGCTCTCCCCGGGTGAGCGCAGCCCCACTCCAGGTGCCGCCCCAAGCACATGCTTGGAGGGCTGATGCCTGGAGCTGGCCCTGCCCCAAACCATGCTCTCCAGACTTAAGTGTGTGCAGACTGCAGCCTCTTGCTTTGCCATACAAAGAAACAAAACCGTAGAATCATAGAAGTGTTGGACTGGAAGGGTCCTTGAGAGGTCATCTAGTCCAGTCCCCTGCACTCAAGGCAGGACTAAGTATTATCTAGAGCATCCCTGACAGGTGTTTAGAGATTTTTAAGAGCAGGTTAGACAATGAGGGAGATTCCACAACCTCCCTAGACAATTTGTTTCAGTGCTTAACTACCCTGACAGGAAGGTTTTTTTCCTAATGTCCAACCTAAACCGCCCTTACTGCAATTTAAGCCCATTGCTTCTTTTCCTGTCCTCAGAGATTAAGGAGAGCAATTATTCACCCTCCTCCTTGTAACAGCCTTTTATGTACTTGAAAACTGTTATCATATTCCCACTCTGTCTTCACTTCTCCAGATTTAACAAACCTAATTTTTGCAATCTTTCTTCAGAGGTCATGTTTTCTAGACTTTTAATCATTTTGGTTACTCCACAAATTCCCTGTTCACTTTGGGATCTAATTCATGATTATTGCCCTTGTACTTAAACTCTCCATGGACATGCCTGAGCCAGCCTCAGAGGTGGTCTGTCTTTCTCTCTCCTCAACTAGCAGGAGCCTTGCTCCTCACCATTTCGTCACTTTTGATGTAGGAGCTTCTTCCAATCAGCAGCAGGTGCAGAGGAACAGCCTCTCTGTATCTCACCATCTCATTAAAATCACCACTGAACTAATATTTTTTTCTGTCTTGCCTATACCCCTCATCTCTCTTCCCTCTGCTATTAGTTAACTCCGTAAAGCATTTTGGGGTTTTGTTTATTAGACGTACCATACACAATATAACTGTACTGTACCTTGGATAGACTGTTAACAAAGTAAGTTGGCCACCATACATTTCAAACTTGCAGGTACAGGTTTGGATCCTGGGCCTGTAGCCAGTCCAGTCTGGAAGGCAAAGCTGTGATGACATATTCAATATCCAGGTGGAGTGCAAAGGGGGCAGCTGCATTGCCTCACATTCCAATCTGCTGATCCATGACACAGTATTGGCATAGGCTTTGGAAGCTGCTGCTTGCTCTCTGGGCTGTAGGGATGGTCTGAGGTGACGGCAGGAGAGGAAAGGGTGAGTCTTTTTGTAGAATGTTGCCTCATGATTATGGCCTGTTCTGAGCAAACTGGACAGGTGGGGCCTGGCAGTACTTGGCATTGTCAGTGTATGTAATTGTACAGACACCTCAGTCAGTTCTTCAGCACACTTCCTTTGGTAGCTACAGAACTTAATTCATAGATTCATAGATTCTAGGACTGGAAGGGACCTCAAGAGG